ATAACAATTGCAGAAGCAGTATAAACATCAATGCTCATATTTCTAAAAACAAAGGATTCCACAAAATTAGAGAGTTACTCACTCGCCTCACCGGAAAGTACGTCAAGTTGACTAAAGACATCACTGAACTTCTATTCAAATTATGTAAGCCATGCATGAAAGTTTCGCTTAAATTTGACGTTTTTTGTGATTACTGATTTTTTTGTATCCTTTGATTGATAAGGAAGGCGCATATGTATTAGCAGCCTTGTCACTCCTGGATTTCACCAATATTGTCACCAATGTTAATAAAGGCTGTATTTCTACATTGTTGTTGTCATCAATGTATGTTTGTGTCGACTCCACAAATGTGTGGTTCAGGTGGTCTACTAATCAGATGACATCCTTTTCACAGTATTTACCGCCTTCGCAACATCAGAAATACTTTTCTCCCTCTTATCATCCGCGCGGATCGGCATACAGAATTCCTAATCGTCGATGCGGACATCTAGCTTGCGTTGGAGCCTATTGCGCTCTTTCTAGTGGTCCGTATCCACGTCCCCCATTGATATCAGACGTTTTGCCGTCAGTCCCTCTCCATGCTTCTACCCAACAACCAGAGAAAAACCGAGAACCTTCCGAAGTCACCCGTCTGGTAGAAAAGCCGTTGGAAGAGAAAACGAAATCTGTAAAGAGGTCTCGACTCTACGAACGGAATCCTGTATGGGACATCGCAGCAGAAACTCGAATCTATCCGAGAGATGGACAACTGCTGGATGATGGATCTTGGAAAACTCCACTTCTATCGGAGAATGAATTGCAACAAAAATTAGAAAAGAATCCTCGTTATCTTTTGGAAAGAGTCTGTAAAGGTGAGAACGGCTCTTCATCGATTCATCGATTCGTTTCTGTTTTTTCAGAATTGTTGAAAATCGATCGGTGGCAAAGAGGAATCGTAAGCGCTTCTGTTTTTGTACAAGTGCTCCGTCAGCTGGGAGCATTTCCTCCGAGGCCAGAAATTGAGGAGCTTCTGAAGTATTGCTTCATAACGAAGGATGGATTCGTGATTTATAAAAGACTCATGATGTTGATCTTGCCAGGGAGGTGGGCGTCCACAGTTTGAATGTGACTTGCATTTGACTTCAGATATGCAAAAAATCGTGATTCAGTCAAATTCCATTTGGCGCCTCCCGAAGTTTGGAACGAAGATGTTTACGAGCCCGCAAGATCTAAAGCTCATCGAGAGAAGGATGAAGATGACGGAGAGATTGAGAAGGAATTGAAGCGATTAGGATTTGCAAGAGATGTAAGATTGAATACTTCTCTGGCATCTCTTCTATGTAAATATTCTTCAAGGGGAATGACGCTCCAGAGTGGTCTTTCGACATCACAACAAATCCGATCATGGTAAAGAGAAGATGGAAAGGAATTCTGATGCTGTTTTCATTTAGAGCAGAAATTGGACCCCAGAATTGAGTGATTCTGTCCGTCGATTATTTGCAATGTGGGATAGAAACTTAATCAATGATGAAAAGATGAAATATCACTTGAAGGTACAACGACTCATCAAAACAGTCTTCCATCCAAATTATAGATTCTGGGAATTCCAATCACCTTCGAAGCGGAATGTCTTCTATCTTTGTATGGACCGTCGAGATCGTTATCATTCGGAAAATTTCTCCATGCGCTGCAAATCAATAATTTAACAAATGGAAGAAAACTGCGAAGCTTAATTCCCGCAATAGCCAAATGTCAATTGGAAGTGAGTGAGAACAAACGCCTCTTGAAGAACGCGATTGATGCAGGAAAGACCAACGCGATTCAGCGCACGACTCACTACTGAATCACGGCGCGAACCGATCACATGGACACAGAAAAAAGAGGAAATTCCAGAAACCTGCGAGGAGTGGGAAGAGACGGATGACGCCACAAGGGTAGGTTGAATTTGGGGTTGACGAAAACGTTGTGAGATTGTAGAATCGTCTTCACATATATGATGTTTTGATCAAAATGACGAATGGTCAACTCAATTCGTCAACAGTGAAGACAATTCTGGATAATCAAGGAATAGAAATCTCCGTCGAAGTAAGAATGGAATTGAGTGGGATACAATACAATCGGAGTGGGATACAATACAATCAGAGTGGGATACAATACAGTCAGAGTGGGATACAATACAATCAGAGTGGGATACAATACAATCAGAGTGGGATATAATACAATTCTACAGGTGGATCGACTTTTGACATCGATAGAAAACGAGAGCGGGGGACGGTCGATGGTTTCTCGGTTGATTAGTGCAGTGACTCGTTGCAAGGGTTGGTCGAAATTCTGTCAGAAGACTGACGAGACAGAGTGAGTGTTTTTTTTCAATGTCTCAATGTAGACAAAACTGATATGAGAACCCATTGACGGGAAGAGTGCTTTCCGATACGAAGGAGGAAGTTTTTGTATGACGTGTCTAGAAAGAGTCTACATGACTGGGAACGAAGAAGCTCAGTGTGTAGCTTTGTCAAAGCTGGGCTGTATGCTAAGAAACAATTCGCTGTCTCATTTCATCAAGGGTGACCTTGAGACATCCCAAGATGCAGACAACAGCAGACTGTGCTCACTAGTAATCTGGCAAGAAGTAGCCGATTTTTGAGGGCTGTCGCTTCAGTGGTGGGAACATGGCAGAAACAAGAAGATAATCGCTTTTGTAGATTGCCTGTCATACTGGAACAAATGCTGTAGCGCCAAGAAACATAGCACTTATTTCGACGTGAACACCGTTTGCCTTTCGTTTACCTGTCGTGACATTCAACGCGCGTTGGCATGCTTGCATGTCCTTCGTGTTAACGTATGCTAGAAAGTTGGAGGTAGAGCTGGCGAGGATAGAGGCAGAGAGTCGGGTAACAGTTGAGACTGCGCCAGTCAAAGCGGACACAACGGCGAGAAGCGAGGTCGAGAAATGTTCGAGCGAGCTGTAAACGAAGATGAGAAGGAGTAGAGAGCAACCTACCGATGGGATGTGAGGGAACACATGGGTGGTGCAGGCTTAAGCGAGCTGGTGGTAGTGGACGAGGCAGCGTTCCAGATGATCAGAGGCAGCCAGCGTCGCAAGGGACCACCGAGTTGACTGGAAGAGAAGGTCGCGGGCGGTTGTAGTCCAGGGGAGCACGGGGACGAACGTGTGGGTAATAGCGCAGAGAGCAAAGGTGATGAACACCGCCGTTGTCACCTGAAAGAGAAGGAGAGCGAGTTTGAATAAGCCGCTTAGGGTACTTATCGCAAAGGACATGGTCCGGCAAAGAACCGTTGCCGTCGTAATGAGGCCGAAGAGCGCGAGAGCGAGCATCATTAAGTTAAATTGGTTTGGTGTTGATTGGTTATAACTCGTTTCGTGGAGAACAAAAAGAGCGAGAAATGAATGGGCGAAAACAAAGGCATAGGAGGTGCATGTAAGAGGTTTAGCAGCCGGGTGCAACGTTTCTAAAATCTTAACGACTGCTTTGATGTCGTTTATGTGGAAGTAAATCTGGGAGGTGGTAACGAAAAAATCGATCCGAGGTCCCTGCACTATCTGGAACGGAGGAACTTCACAACCTTTAATTCAACAGTTTCCCCCCATTTCCCTTTCATTGTCATGAGATCTAGCGATCTAGTGTCCTTAAGTGTCGTGGTGAAAACGAAGCAGTACCTCCAACTCGTAACCTTGATGGCTCCAACGATGGCACTACTGGGCCTCACTTCCACCCTCGCCTTCGTCCAAAGATTGAGGTGATCTGCCTCCTCCCCCTTGGTTTTCAGGTATTGACCGCCGGTTACTCTCGGATTCGCCATCATGAACTGCTTTGAACTTTTCCTTTACCCCCTAGTTCTACCCTTATTTCCCTCATACTACCACCACCATGCACTTTGCTTCCTTTGACATCATCGGGAACGTCGTTGCACTAGCCGCTCACAACGTTTGCACTTCAGTTACGGAGTCATTCGTGCCCAGTTTTTATGTGTATTTGCTCCTTTTTTGCACCTTGGCTTCCTAATCACCCGGTTGCAGTGAAAAGACCTCAATCTTAGCTACAACAATTCTATGCTCGAATCCAATGTGAACATAGAAACCAGGAAGGGTGCAAGATGCGCTTATCATGTGGGTTGATAGTATCGTTGCTTCCTGCCTTTTCTGGAACACCCTTTCACTGGACGAAAGTGAAATTGGCTGGTTCTCAACTCGAGTTCAAAGACATGGGGTTCGGACAGTCACTTCGAAGAGGGAGGCCAGATTTACCCCATACAGCTGAGAACGGCGTGAGAGACATATAATGTTACATGCCGACGGAAACAGTCACATGTATAAAAATTGGGTCAACTGAGGAGGTACAACGAAAATTCAATGATCGCCGGCATTTAAGAAAAAACAATTAATATTGGAAATGGAGCCATCTGACGCAGAGAAGATAGAATTACTGGAGGAGGAGAGCCGCAGAACAACGGAGCGAAATTTCACCTTTTTTGAGATTTTTGTCGGATTCATTGCGGCGGTCTCAAGTTGGTAAGCGCTTAGCACATCATAGTGTAATGTTCCCTCACAAACTTTTTTTTGGTCAGGGGCGTTTTGGTAAGTGGTGTGCCCCATTCAGCTTCTCGCCCGCGCTTGTTTGCACTTGATGTTTTCGATTAGGATTCTTTGGTTGAGGTTCTAGCTCAGAGTCACAGACCTACCATGGCAATTTATTATGGTACTCTTCTATTGCAGGTTGCTTTCCTCAGTTCTTTTTTTTCAGGTATTGTCTTTGCGATAGCGATGCTAGTGCAAGTCATTGCGAGATTATTCAAGTTCAATTTTGATCTAACGCATGCCCTTAACTTCTTCAGTTAGAGGAGGAGTGTCTAGAATGTCTGTGGGGTTGGCCAGCTGATAACAAATCGGCATCAAGTGTTTTTTTTGTCTGTGATTCATGGAAGAGAAACCGATCTCTTCGTTGGTTCAGTGAATGCACTCAATTCTTTCACGAGTCCCTTCTATGGTTTAGTTAACGCACTCATTTCGATTCCGAAAACGCCATCTGGAGCTTGCGTTGAACACGCTCCTTTCGCTGTTCATTTGTCAATCTCTTAGGACGAAGATATTTCGTCTTCGAGGTGACAATGTAGTTTCCTTCACGACGATTCTTGATGTCCTTCTTCGGCTTCTTCACGCGATCTGGATTCGAGCGAATCGCAGCATGCGCCTTCTTGTACATTTCTTCAATACCGTCAGCGGCAACCCCCTTTTTGATGAATCTGCTGAAGTGCGATTCGTACTTTTCCGGGCTTTCCTCTTGAAGGGTTTTCATGTATTCAGCAACATGGAGACCGAAGATTCTAGTACGATGAGCTTCAGCGTCGTAGGATCCTTCTTTTCCTTCTTTGCTGTAACCTGGGAATCTTTTGTTACTGTGAGGAATGTGGAGTCCTCCGTCACAAGCTCCCTTCAACGCACCAAACACTCGGTTACCGGTTGTGGTTCGAACAAGACCAACATCCAAAAGAGCTTTAAAAGGGCGGCGGTCCTCGTTAGGGTCCTCTTCAACGTGGTATTCCTCTCCTTGCGCCTGGACACCTTCGTATGCCTTATCCATATCCAACGTCTTCAAGAGACGACGAGCGCACAGAAGACCCGTGCAGTAGGAGGCTGCATAGTTCGTCAGACCGACAGGAACCCCGTATCTGGGAAGTTCCTGAGAATCTGCTTGGCACAGAACGCGATCTCCCTGGATGGTCGCATAGATGATTTGGCAGATAATTCTTTGGTTCGTCTGAAAATAGAAATTAAGCAAATAATACAATAAAACAACCTCATAAGACGTACTCTGCGAACAACGAAACGGTATTTTGGCGAGTTGTATTTATTGTTGTCTTGATTAACGAGACGGCGGCGGGCTTGGTAGTCAGTCTTTCCCTCACGTCGACGTCGGTACTTGACTTGATAGCGTTTGAAATAGGAGGAGGTTTTGACGACCTTGACGAAGACCATGGTGGGCTAGCCGGGGAGATGAGAAGGGGTGAAAAAAGAACCGAAACAGTTCTCCTGAAGTTTGTTCTTTCCTGGGACAGGCAAGGAATTTGCCCCAAAAGTACCTCCCAAAACTGCAAACAGACAACAGGCGAACAGGATTGTTGTCCTTGGCTCGTTTGCCTCTTTTCACCTGGAAGCGAATACTGGAGCGATGGTAAGTTCGAGCGAACCAGATCTTTCGAGGGTGTTCGGGCGGGGGTTTAGCCAGCAGGGTTTATGAGGCTCATCGAATCCATTTTCGTCACTTCGATGCGAGCCCTTGCTCATTCCTTGTGTTTTTAGGTTCAACAAAAGCCCAAGTCCAAGAAGCTAGCTGCTGCGCCATTCGGCTCCAGCAAAACTTCAGGGAAAGCTATTCAGAAGCACCCGCTCTTCGAAAAGACGCCCCGTTCATACCGAATTGGAGGAGACATCAGGCCCTCAGTCGATTTATCCCGCTATGTCCGCTGGCCGAAATATATTCGCATGCAACGTCAGAGAGCCGTTCTTCTCCAGAGGCTGAAGGTCCCCCCTGCTTTGAATCAATTCAACCACGCAGTGGATCGCAACCAGACGAGTCAATTGTTCCGCTTGCTCAACAAGTATAAACCCGAAAGCCGCGTCGAAAAGAAGAACAGGTCCGTGTGTTTTTGCAGACAATGAAAGACGTTCACTCTTATTCTTTGCAGACTTCTTGAAAGCGCCAAGAAGCGTGAGGCTGGGGATGCAAGTGCTGCAACTGACAAGCCCGTCGTTCTGAAGTATGGACTCAATCACGTGACAGACCTCATCGAATTGAAAAAAGCCCGTTTGGTCGTTATTGCTCACGACGTCAACCCTGTTGAGCTTGTTTGCTGGCTCCCTGCACTTTGCCGCAAGAAGGATATTCCCTACTGCATCGTGAAGAGCAAGGCGCGCTTGGGCCAACTTGTCCACAAGAAAACTGCTTCTTGCGTTGTTGTCGAAAACGTGCGAAAAGAGGATCAAGTTGCGCTTGACAACCTCATTAAAACCTTCCGCTCAGAATTCAACGACAATGTCGAACTTCGCAGACGCTGGGGCGGAGGACTTCTAGGGTTGAAGTCGCGCCACATTCAGGAGAAGAAGGAGAAGGCGATTGCGCGTGAACAAGCCAAGAAACTTGGTCTCTGATTGTGCTTTTGGGGTTTTTATGGTCCAAACAACTGCGAGTACAGGCTGAGACATTGGTGATGGTTAGCGGAATGATGACACGAAAAAAATTATGAGAAACACGTGGGAGACTCTCTATATTTAGTGGAAGCTTTGTATACGTATTCGTGGCTGAACGTCCAAAATACTTGTTGGTTTTTTTAGTCTGCAGCAAGAGAAGCGAAGTCGGTCCATCAGATTTCTCCTTTGAGGAGGCGTGGCACACGATTATGGTTTTTGAAGTAATCAGGGACGCAGAACGGTCCAGAATTTGATGAATGGCTCCATTTATCTTAAGCGCTGGGAGTCCATATGGCTCATCCCGCTTCGTTAATCTTCTCGACGAGATTGAATCTGCTGTATGGCCCAAAGCAGATGGTTCAATCAAGTACGCTAAGAGCGTCAACCTCATTTTCGCGTTGGCTGACGTCATTTCTAGAGGTGAAATTGAACTGGATGTCCTCATGAAATGCCGGCGTCGGATTGAAGCACTTCTTCTGATCCTGTTGAATCATCAAACAGCAACACATTCACTACGTCTTCTATCAGCAAGGATTGTTTCTCAGCTGTATGCAAGATCCGATCCCTATCAAGTTCACGGATTTCTGAGCGATCTTCTTAGTATTAGTTTAGGAATTCTTCCGCCAGTTCTGTCCTTGCGTCTGGGAGCTTCTGATCCTTCAACAGTCTACACGTCGCCAAATGCAACTCTAGGAGCCACAGTGAAAGTCTCTGCCAAAGATGTTAAAGGCCCATTGGAGGTTCCAGTGCCTCATCGTTCCTGCGCGTTGGATGTTGCTTCTCATATCATCTGCAGCTTTTCTTCTCTTTGCGGGCACGCAATCCCCCTCATCATTTCGGCAACTGAGAAAATTCAAAATAAATCATGCGATCTTAGATGGAGACGCTTATCACTCGATGCATTAAATCGTGGTGTCAACAGCTGTGGGATTAGTGGTGTGGGGATCGCAAATGACATTCATACAATTTGTGTAGCTGCAATTCAAACCAGAATTGCTCCTCTAACAAAGGTTTGCAGCCATTGATGTCAGTCTCCCTTTTTCACTCCTTATTACCTCTTCAGGCTGGTTTTGAATTGCTGTTCGTTCTCGTGTCGAAGCATCCAATAAGCGCGGCGACGAGCATACAGAAGTACGCGAACTCATCTAATTTCTGAAACTTAGAAGAACTGTATTTCTCAGCTCATTCACTGCTTCTCGTTTTCTTTGCAGTTTGTTGGACCTTTGCCTCAAATACGCAGGAGATGAAGATGACAGTATTCGGCAAACAGTATCGACTGCTCTCGCCTCTTGTTTGCTTGCGTATACTGAATTGAAGCAAGAAGGCGATCCCGTAGGTTCTGTAAGTGATGTAAAATTATGTACGAGAGCGTCGATGTAGAAGCCAAGGAGCCTTGACCTTCTAACAGTCCAAATGGGTGTATCACGCGTTTCTTCTTTCTTCAGCAACTGCGTGATGCGTCATCATCCGCATCGAATAACTCAACAACTGCTCAGTTGTGGCAAACGCTTTCAACCCCACTCTCTCTTTCGATGGATCCTAGGACTCGATTGCAAACTCCGTTGTTGTCACAAACACATCAATCGACGCACCCAGCAAAACATCCTCCTCAAGACATCCCTTCAGCGCTTGTCTGGATTGCAGCACAAATCGCTCACCCGCCTTCAACATATCTGAGTTTCTATTCGGATAGCGGACAAGACCGTTGCGATTCAGCTCGATGGATTTTTGGGAATTGTGCGGGAGAATACAAACAAGGGGCACGAGCCGCGTTTTTTCGCGAGACTCTTTGTTCTGCCTTTGTTACACTTTGCCAGCTGGCCCGAATTCATCAGCCACGCGCTCTTGCTGCTGTCACAAATCTTGTGCTGTCGATTTCGCTAGTTTGTTCGAATTTCCCGTCGTCGGATCCTGATCAAGCTGCAGTGGATCTCCTGGCTGAATTGCGAGAACCAGAAAACTTGGCGAAGCTGAAACCAAAGCAGGGGGGGACAATTCTTGAGAGCCCTCTTTTTTCCGCGGCTTCCCTCACAACGAAACTTGGAGTCATGCGAGGTCGAAGTGAAACTCTGGAAGTGCTCCACATTGCCAGGTATGCAATATGTGTGTTCATTCAAAGATGTTTGCTCGTATTCTAGGTGCCTCCTTTATCTGGGACAGTGTGTGATTCGAACCCTAGCTCTGAGCGAATCTTCTATTCTTCATATTTTAGAGAAAAGCTTGACTCCAACATTGACTATAGCAATTCGTTCCATGGCATCTTCAAACATCCCTGCTCTTCACGCTTCTGGTGAATCCGTCAACGCCATGTCCCTTTTAGTCGCAATCCAGCTCACTCGAGAGGCGTGTGTGCGCGTAAGTCTTGAGTTGCTTCATCTTGGGATGCAAGTCTCGTAGGCTGGTCCAGGTTTGTCTTTTTTAAATAATCATGGCAGCTTGATTGAACACTTGACAAAGTGTATAGGAAACTACTCTGTAAGTTGATGCACTCGTTTGGATCGTTATTTCTTCCAACACTATCCCATGCCTCCAATACAATTCTGTACTTCTTAGAAATATTTTAGAACTGAGATTCAAACTCAAGCTGCGTTAACCTTGCGTGCTGCTCTAACAGCTGACGTTCATATTACGGATACACTCGAAGTTGTATTAAACTTGCTTTCAATCAGCTATCAAGAGCTTTCCTCCGTCACTATTGAATCATCGATAAGCGATCCGGATTTCGTGAAGGTACAAACAATGTGGTGTGTGTTCTTTGTATGTCCATGCTTTTGTGATCTTGTTTCCAGGATGCTTTATGCCGGACGTCAGGATACACCCTAGGCCTTATAGCAGTCTTTTTTGCGGCACATTCATCTGAGAGTGGTGTATCGAGCTTGCTTTACGATCGTATCCTTTCTCTGATCGAATCATCGTGCCCTTGGGTGAAGGATGAAGGCCTCGGAAAGGAAGCGCATCGAACAGGTGCGGTGTCCTTTACAGTTTGCTCTAACGCGTTTTTTGTGTTGAAAGGTGCTTTGCCAACTATTCCAGTTCCTGAGGCTTCTGCTGGTCGGAAGTTATCCGCCGCTTTACTCCTTCACTGTTTGGTCGAATGTTCGCCGTTAGCGTGGCAGTTTGACAAGCTCCAACGGATAATTTCGTTGTTCAAAGTGTTCATGGGACGAAAACCAATTGATGCTATGAGGTAGAGGCTTTCGTTCGCTTTTAGAAGATCCCGCTTTTTTCTTCAGATCTCTCAGCGAATTAGAAACGTCAGGAAAGCTGATGCAGAAACAAAGCTTCCGTCCAGAAACAGCCCAGTTCATGGCTGATGGGCTCGATGTTCCTGGATCTCCACAGACGTCCCCATCGTTATTCCCTGAAATCCCTTCTCACTTGCAATCTGCTCCTAGTGGAATTTCTGTTGCATCAAATCTGACAGACGAGCTATTAGTGGTGCGTCATTGATGCGAGAATGAAGATTTGATCTCTTCGGTTTTTCAGCTTTTGTATTCCTTCCGTGCTCTTGCTGCGTTTCTCGTTTCTGGTGGTGTGGAGCGAATCCTTTCAAGTGCCTCTTCGTCTCAACGCAAAATTCTTATCGTTTTTATGACGAATGTTGGACAGCTCGTCAGTTTTCTCTCAGTGTTTTTAATTTGACACTCTATTTTTCTCAGGCTGCTTTCCTCCCCCATCCTCTCGTTATATTATCGCATCCCCCAATGTCGCGATCGAAAGCAGCAGAGTTATTCGAACTATCCTCTGAATGCTTGCGGGGGGAGGAGGCTCCCTCATCCCCGACTTCTTCTGGAGCCTTTTTTATTTCCAATTGTTATGGGGAGACATTCAGTGGCCATGAAGTTTCAAGAGGCCGCGTATTAATTGCCTTGCGTTGCGCTGTGTATGAGGGATTATCGAGGATTCCTATTGAGCTCTTCACATCTCGTTTACTGCAGCTTCTAAATTGTGTGGCTGATGACCTCACGCGCCCACCTAGTAGTCCTTGTGGACCCGTCGCGGCAACAGTGAGTTCATTCACTCTTCAAGGCTTCTCACTTTGGTTGTTGACGCGAATAAGTTTTTTTTATGCTTTTCAGAAGCTTGCTCTAGTGCCACTTCTTTTTGATCTCGATTCAATTGAGGAAAGCGACGGAGACCGCCCGCTTCTGCCGTCGGATTCGCTCCAATCAATTGTTCAAATGTGGAGATCGAAAGAGAACGCACGGAGTGGCGTCCACAAGTGTCCATTGGGTGTCGCTTATCCATTCTGCTCAACACCTTGCTCTGGATTCCATCAAGGAGTCTTTGAAGATTCGAATGAATCGTCGTACCACATTGATGAGAGCGTCGACTTGACGACGCCAGTTCCATTACCATCGTGGGTAGAAACTATCGCATTTGAGTATGGGAGCTGCCCAAGTCTCTCCACGCACTTATTCATCCAACACCTTTCTGGAACGCTTCCTCTTCGAGAAGAAAAAGCCGCTCGCGTTATTGAATCCAACTGGAAAGTCTCTTCCGTAAGCTCTTCATCGATTTGGCGAATTTTCTCTATAGAAGATCAGCTTTTGAGGAAGGCCTCTCCGATGTTTTGACGACTTTTTGTTTCCTCAGATTCGGTTTTTCAGCCTCTTGATGTCGAGTGTCAGCGATGCGACGCGACTTACAGTATTCCAGCATCTGCTGAGAACACTTCAACAACCCCCTACTGGTCCATTTTCAGCTCAAACATCTCGAAAGAAATCAAAAATTTCTGCGTCTTCACAGAAAACTCTATTGCGAGCTCAATCAGTAGCGAAGCAGCAGCTAGGACTTCATTGGGTTGATGGCGTGTGGGGTGGCGTTAAACCCCATGAGTCCCCCGATTCACAATCTGATGGTGCTTCACCTCATTGTCTGCAACTCAGCTCAGAATTCTACGAAGAACAGGCTTGTGTTCCGATTGTCGTGCTTCTTGGTGTTCGTCAATTTCTCCTTCG